TTTCTAAGCATTTTCCATTTTTTCTAAGCTGTAGTACTAAGTTTCTAAGTATTTGCCATTTTTTTCTAAGTTTTAATACTAAGTTTCTAAGTATTTGCCATTTTTTCTAAGTTTTAGTACTAAGTTTCTAAGTATTTTCCATTTTTTCTCAGTTTTAGTACTGTTTCTAAGTATTTTCCATTTTTTTCTAAGTTTTAGTACTAAGTTTCTAAGTATTTTCCATTTTTTTCTAAGTGTTAGTACTAAGTTTCTAAGTATTTTCCATTTTTTCTAAGCTGCAGTACTAAGTTTCTAAGTGTTTTCCATTTTTTCTAAGTTTCTATGTATTTGCCATTTTTTCTAAGTTTTAATACTAAGTTTCTAAGTATTTGCCATTTTTTCTAAGTTTTAGTACTAAGTTTCTAAGTATTTGCCATTGTTTCTAAGTATTTGCCATTTTTTCTAATTTGTAGTACTAAGTTTCTAAGTATTTGCCATTTTTTCTAAGTTTTAGTACTAAGTTTCTAAGTATTTTTTTAGGTTTTTAGTACTATTTAGTAATATGTGTCTATTCTATGGCTCTTTTGTTGTTTGTGAGCCCTAATCTAGTCACATTTCTGTCACTATGTGATAGAAAATCACATTTTAATATTTTAAGTGTCTCATTTGCTTTAGCTGTTTATGGCTCTTTTGTTGTTTGTGAGCCCTAATCTAGTCACATTTCTGTCACTGTGATAGAAAATCACATTTTAATATTTTAAGTGTCTCATTTGCTTTAGCTGTTGTCATTAGTTCTGTTCAGATGGAGTCTGAAAACCACTCCAGGATTTTCCTGTCGTGTGATTCACTGACGTCCACTAATGTGTTTTAATTGTATTTATTGTGTGTGGATCTTTTATCCCCAGCACAATATCCATTTTAAACAACGTAAAATACATTTACATTTACATTTAGTCATTTAGCAGACGCTTTTATCCAAAGCGACTTACAATTGGGGGATACATAAAGCGATTCTTCTTAAAGAGGCAAACAGACACAGGAAGTGGTTGTAATACCAATAAAATAGTCTCATCTTGAAGTGTCATATGAAGTTTCTAAGATTTTTCCAAGTTTTAATACTAAGTTATTAAAGTTTTCTAAATACCAAGTTTCTAATTTTTTTCTAAGTTTTAGTGCTATTTTAGGTGTCTATTTTTATAGATGTTTTGTTGTTTGTGAGCCCTAACCTAAGACAAATTTCTATCACTATGTGATAGACCATAGAATTCAGTTCTTGGGTTACACACTGTTTCTGATTAAATCTGATCAGATATCTCATAATCACATGGTAGGGTGGCGGTTGGTGTGAAGGCGGGGGGTTTTAGGGCTATTTGGTTAGTTGGTTAATCCCTGAAACACTGTGACCCTCTTTTGTAGACACGAGACAAAGAAAACACGCACACATTGAGCTGTTCTCTGATTATTTTGCTAGTAATTCTAAGGCTGATTGTTAATCTGATCAAGAGTTAGTCTGCATTAAACACACACACACACTAATGAACTTTGCACGTTATTTTATGGACACAACAGGTGTGATATGGACATGATTTGGTCTGTTATAGAATCACAACGGCCCTTGAAGGGTCATTCTCAGGAACTAGTGCCATTCAGATATTTCTACCAAAAACTTACAATATATATTCAGAGGTTTGGGGTTAGTAGGATTATTTTAAAGAAATTAATACTTTAATTCAACACATTAAATTTATCAAAAGATACATTTATGATGTGACAAAATATTTCTATTTCAAATAAATGCTGTTCTTTTGAACTTTCTATTCATCTGTGAATCCTGAAAAATAAAATGTATTGTGGTTTCCACAAAATTAGTGTGCAGCACAACTGTTTTCAACATTGCTAATAATCAGAAATGTTTCTTGAGCAGCAAATCAGCATATTAGAATGATTTCTGAAGATCATGTCACACTGAACAAACATCATTCATGAAGCCCCAGCGTCCTGCGGGCGTGTGAACGACGGCCATTCAGTGTGTGTGTTTAATGCATCACAAAAGAGACTCAGACGAGTGGAGGAAGGGTGTCACGCTGCCATATCGCACAGGAACTGGTGAAACTGTCTGCTAGATCTCAGATGTTTCTCCTAAATCCCTCAGGAGGAATAAAACAGACACAAATGAGTCACTAGTCATCATCCAGTAAAAGTATGCAGCTATAAAATGAATGCGGAGCATAGGATCTCAGACTTTTGATCGCAGACAAATCTGAGCCCGTAATAGACATTATTTTTTTGTGTGTTTATATTTTATCCATTTACATTTAGACATTTAGCAGACGCTTTTATACAAAGCGACTTACAAATGAGGACAATAGAAGCAATCAAACTCAACAAGAGAGCAATGATATGCAAGTGTTATAACAAGTCTCAGTTAGCTTAACGCAGTACACGTAGCAACTTTGATCACAGAAATAAATGACAGTTTAAAATATATTCACATAGAAAACAGCTATTTTAAATTATAATATTTCACAATTTTACTGTTTTTGGGGTAGAAAATCAGAGCCAAATTTTCATAATGGTCTTAACTAGTAAATATCAACAAATCATATTAGTTACAGTAATCTTGTACCTTGTGTACAATAGTTTTCGCAAAAAAAATTCATTTTTTTAACATAAGAATCGAACTATTAAGCTTGATGATATCATTAAACAATTAAACGTCATGAAATACTGCTAAAACAAAGCTGTGAGAGAAACTCACTTTGGTTTGGCATGTGGTAAAAAAAAACTTTCATGATGTCACTTCCTTAAATATAATGAAAGAAGGGAAACACCACAGCAGAAAGTGCGGAACAAAGACAAATACTTCAATTTTAGGAAAAATAATTGACTGTAAGACACCCGTATATCACAAATGATGCTATTTTGTGTCCATTTTCTGTTCTCAATGAAAAACCATTTAGTTAAGCAAACCAAAATTGCAAGAAAAAAAACAAATAGAGAGAGATTGAACAATAATGTAAATACACAAGTAAATGAACAGCATTGCAGATTTTCTAGGATTGTTTTATTGATGTATCTTGCTGTATTTAGTGGTGATCTGGACTGCTGGGGATTTGGGTGTGTGTTTGTGAATGAGCTTGATGTGATTTGCTTGTGGCATTTCCCCCTTTCACCCGTGTTTCTGGATCAGAGAGTCGCACACAAATGATTTGCAAATCAAACCTGTTCAGCTGAATGCTCCTGGAGTTTCACAAACATCATTCATGAAGCCCCAGCGTCCTGCGGGCGTGTGAACGACGGCCATTCAGTGTGTGTGTTTAATGCATCACAAAAGAGACTCAGACGAGTGGAGGAAGGGTGTCACGCTGCCATATCGCACAGGAACTGGTGAAACTGTCTGCTAGATCTCAGATGTTTCGCCTAAATCCCTCAGGAGGAATAAAACAGACACAAATTTTTATCCAAAGCGACTTACAAATGAGGACAATAGAAGCAATCAAAATCAACAAAAGAGCAATGATATGCAAGTGGTATAACAAGTCTCGGTTAGCTTAACGCAGTACACGTAGAAAGTTTTTTTTTTAAATCATATAATAAATAAAAAGAAAACAGATAGAATAGATCCATAGTGCAATAACTTTTTTAAAACTAAGAAAAATACAAAACTTGTAGTATACTAAGTTTCTAAGTTTTCTAAGTTTTAGTACTAAGTTTGTAAGTTTTTTTCTAAGCTTTAGGACTAAGTTTCTAAGTTTTTCCCCCGAGTTTTCTGAGTTTTACTACTAAGCTTTATATGTTTTTTTTTCTAAGCTTTCTAAGTTTTTGGACTAAGTTTTCTAGGTTTTAGTACTAAGCTTTCTAAGTTTTTGGACTAAGTTTTCTAAGTTTTAGTACTAAGCTTTCAGATTTTTTCCCCCAAGTTTTCTTAGTTTTTGGACTAAGTTTTCTGAGTTTTAGTACTATGTAAGTTTTTTTCTAAGCTTTAGGACTAAGTTTCTAAGTTTTTCCCCCGAGTTTTCTGAGTTTTACTACTAAGCTTTATATGTTTTTTTTCTAAGCTTTCTAAGTTTTTGGACTAAGTTTTCTAGGTTTTAGTACTAAGCTTTCTAAGTTTTTGGACTAAGTTTTCTAAGTTTTAGTACTAAGCTTTCAGATTTTTTCCCCCAAGTTTTCTTAGTTTTTGGACTAAGTTTTCTGAGTTTTAGTACTATGCTTTCTAAGTTTTAGTACTAAGTTTCTTCATTTTTTTCCCCCAAGTTTTCTTAGTTTTTGGACTAAGTTTTCTGAGTTTTAGTACTAGGCTTTCTATGTTGTTTTTTCTAAGCTTTCTAAGATTTAGTACTAAGTTTGTAAGTTTTTTCTAAGCTTTCTAAGTTTTTGGACTAAGTTTTCTGAGTTTTAGTACTATGCTTTCTAAGTTAGTTCTGTTTTTTCTAAGTTGTAGTACTAAGTTTCAACGTTTTTTTTCCCAAAGTTTTTTAAGTTTGAGTACAAAGTTTCTTGTCATTTGGCAATATTTTATGTGTGTCTATTTTTGTGGATGTTTTAATGTTAAGATACATTTCTATCACTATGTGATAGACCATAACGCTTTTAAATCTGAATAGAATTAATTAACTAAAAAACGTTGAACATAAGGAGATTTTGTTTTACTAAAAAACTTCCTTTCAACCTGTTGATTCGCCATTGAGACTCCAGCAGGATCCACTGCGGAAAGAATCGAGGAAGCAAAACAAACCATGCTGAGAAAAGTGAAGTAGTATGAGCAGATTTAGTTTTGTGAGAGTTTGTAAAGTGATTTAGTCGTGTTGACGTGTTTGGCAGCTGTTTGCCGAAGTCTCACAGTGTCTCATTGTCCTAAAGTTCCCGGGAACCTAAACCAGCAGCTGTCGCTCCACACACACACACCCTGCCCCCATGTCCTCACACAACTAAAACAAACCCCATCACAATCCAAACAATCCCTCAGCTGGGGCTCACCACAGCAAGCCAGGACATGTTAACCCTTCACATACACACACAGAGTATATGAGATATATCACACATGAGATCTCAATAGCTTCTCCTACACAGCAATGAGATCAAATGCAGAACAGATAATGTAGAGAAGGTTCTGAGAAAGACCCTGGCTTCAGAACAGATCTCTACTATGTCTGAAACAGGGCTCAGATTTGCTCTAAATACTACTAAATAATAAGCGGTCTCAATATGAACTAATTTCTCATCAAATGTGTTTAGCTGCTTTCCACTTCATGTTATTGTTAGCTATTAGTTTTATTACTTCAGTTTCAACTTATTTTATTTCAGTTAGCTGCCAGTGGTACATTTCTAATTTTCGTTTTTAGTAATTTTGTTTCATGCTTTTGTCATTTTTATTAGATTTGTTTAAATTTCGTTTTAGCTTTAGTTTATTTCAGTTTAGTTTTAGTAATTATTGATATTTTAATAGTTCGTCTTATTTCAGTACCTTGCTAAGACAGCATTTCATATATTAGGTTATGTTTTAGTAATTTTGTTATGTGCTTTTGTAATTTTTATTAATATTTTTTAAATATTTCTATTTAGCTTTAATTTTCTTTTATTATATTTTAACTCTTCAACTTCTACTTATTTCAGTTAGTTGTCACGGCAACATTTCTAATTTTAGTTCACGTTTTAGTAATTTTATTATGTACTTTTTTTTTTTTTTACATCTATATAGCTTTAATAGTTTTAGTTTTAGTAACTATTAATACTTTAATACTTCAGTTTATTTCAGTTGGTTGCCAAGGCAATATTTCAAATTTTCTTTTCTTTTTATTTTAAAGTTTTGCATTTTATTTAAAAGTATTTAAATTCCGAAATAAAAACAAAGCTATATTTTTACTGTAGGACTAGTGACATCTGTAAAAGTTAAATTTAAACGAAACTCAACTGAGAACTCAATTAGTGTACTAGGCTGTGAAAGAGCAACATCTGAGACTAAATTGTGCTTTCTTTATTAATTTGGCCCATGTACCCGATCACCCGCCATGACAGGAAGAGATCAGCCCAGAATTCAGAGTATTTCCTGTTTATACCAATTGTTTTTCAAACACAAAAAGGGCTAAAAGAGCCGATCGACTAAACTCACACAGATTTAGAGGTACTTTGTGCTCCACACAACCCTGACGAACTACAGCGGCTTACAGATAAAACACACACACACACATACACACACTAGTGCTGGTCCAGCACACACTGTTCCAGAGAACAGATTTTTGCAGTAATTCAAGAGTTTATTTGTATTGTCAGTGTGTCACCTAAACACACTCCACCCTCATCAGCTCAGATAAGAGAACTCAACACTAGCACATGGGTGTGTATATGTGTGTTCTGGTATTATCTTAGTCTGGGTGTGTCCTCGGTTTAACGTTCCTCTCCTGTACTCTCTCTCACACACACACACACACACACACACACACACAGACAGACAGACACATGTACTCTCTCTCTCACACACACACACGAGAGAGATGTTTCCAGTCAGTGTTGTGGAGGAAACCCCAAACCCGCTGTTTTTTCTCCCCCTCTCGTCACTGGTTGACGTCACAGCAGCTCAGCCAATCACATACTGTTGTCGAGGGAGAACTGAGAACAAGCGCGTGTGTGTGTGTGTGCGTGTGTTAGTGTAAAACACGGAAATACAGCAAATTCAACACAAATTCACATTCTGTCTATACTGACAGGAAATGTAATGGAAAAACAGCTTAAAAAGAGAGTAAATAGGCTTTTAAATATGTCTCAATGTTTGTTCTTATTTGTCACCTCAACTGAGGCAAACATTTTTAAATGTAAAAAAAAATAATTTATAAATAACATATTTTTAGGGTTTTGTTTGGGTAGTTTGTAGTAATTATTAACTTAATGACTAAAACGCTATGGTAGGTCCTCGTTTAGTTATGTAAATATGTGTGTTCGGTGTAGGTTCTGTTAGTGTAGACGCATTGTAAAGTTTCGGTACATTTAGTTCCGTGATAATCATCAGAACAAACTCTAGTTTGAGCTCCGATCACATAGAGAGGAAAGCTGCTGGCCTCTGCTGGGCACATTGCAGTACTGCAGGGTTTGAAATTAACAAGCGTCAAATGCGAATAAAATGGGTTTAGGTGAGTAAATAAAATTAATCTTGTACGTTTTAAGAACCGCCACGTTCCATAGTTAAATAACGTCAGTCCTGTTGTCTCTGATTCAGGCGAAGCGGGAGATTCAAATCAAAAATAGCGCGCGTCTTCTAACGACTTTTTTTTTTGTTTTTACCTCAGCGGAAAATAAGCATCAGAAATGTATTTAGGATTATTAAAGTTTTTCTAGAACTCCATGTAGCGACACATATGTGTAATATTACTCAGATTTAAACGCCAAAATGAAATATGAGGACCAAAATCAATTTGGATGTGTTAATTCTTGTGACAGCTGCACGTCATATAATTCTGCGCTGTTTTTTCACAAATACAAAACAAACATAATTCCATTATCATAAGGACAAAATATATTTGTAATGAAAATATCCTGCAAAATACGATTTATCTATCTATCTATCTATCTATCTATCTATCTATCTATCTATCCCGCCACGTTCCATAGTTAAATAACGTCAGTCCTGTTGTCTCTGATTCAGGCGAAGCGGGAGATTCAAATCAAAAATAGCGCGCGTCTTCTAACGACTTTTTTTTTTGTTTTTACCTCAGCGGAAAATAAGCATCAGAAATGTATTTAGGATTATTAAAGTTTTTCTAGAACTCCATGTAGCGACACATATGTGTAATATTACTCAGATTTAAACGCCAAAATGAAATATGAGGACCAAAATCAATTTGGATGTGTTAATTCTTGTGACAGCTGCACGTCATATAATTCTGCGCTGTTTTTTCACAAATACAAAACAAACATAATTCCATTATCATAAGGACAAAATATATTTTGAATGAAAATATCCTGCAAAATACGATTTATCTATCTATCTATCTATCTATCTATCTATCTATCTGTTTAAACAAAGCATAAATTATCTATCCATCTATCACACCTGTATGCTGGTCTGCTCCGCTCCATTTGTGTTCTCTATGTTTTCATCGACCTCGACCTCTGACCCCATCAGCTGAGTGACATCACATCAAACACCAGTTATGAATGTATGGAATCAAGGCCAGAGTTTTATGTCATGTGCGTGTCGTCAGACCTTGCTGGCGTAGTTCTCCAGCAGCAGTACACTTTATTTGCTCTGTTTTATTTTGTGAAACCTTACTACGTATATGGAATAACAGTTTTATAAAAGCAATAAGCCCCATGAAGCCGTGGTTTACAAATTCACTGTAAACCATGGCTTCACGGGGCTTATTGCTTTATAAGAGAATCTTTTAGTTTATTTCAAATATGTAAAGCGTTTAGATTTCACACACCATCTTGGCTACATTTACCGTTATTCAGGGATTTTTCGTGGGCGAAATCCATGCAATCGGGAGTTTTGCGCGAAAAAGTAGGTCATGTGAATTCACAGACATCTGCTTGTTTTTACAGTGATTCTGTGCCAGCCAAGATATTTTGCCGCAAAATTACGGCCACATCGACGTGCATTAATTTATATTTAGCTGCTAACTAAGTTGATTTTCCTCCCTAATTCCTATATTTGCATTGCCTAAAATTAATTATTATTTAAATTGTATTTTGTTGATCATGGTGGTAGCTGGCTTTAATTTATTAAATTATCAATTATCTAGCTATCTGTCTAAATAAAGTAGTAAATAAAATCAATAATTGTGACATTTTTTGAATGATAATGAATCATTTTTTCTTCCAAATTCTCATAATCACAATGCAAAAAATAAATAAATAAAAATAAAGATTTATTATTTAAATTGCAAAGTAATTTTTTTCATCATGATGATATTTGTTGTACTGGCTTAAATTTATTCTGATTGTACTAACAAAAAAAATTATTGTAATAATAAAATTAAGAAAAATAAATTATCTGTATGTCTATCTAAACAAAGCAATAACTAAAATCCGTAATTGTGATATTACTTTAATTATAAGCATTTTTCTAACATAATCGCAATGCAATGCAAAAAAAAAAAAGATGTAGTAATGTAAATTGTAAAGTATTTTTGATCGTGGTAGTATTGGTTGTACAGACTTTAATTTGTGTTGATTTAAATATAATTTTTTTTTTATTAAAGTAATAAAATTAGATGGAATAGAAAATAATGACAATTACAAAACACCCAGTACTAAAATTAAAGTACTAAAATTGCTAAAACTAACATAAAATAAATATATATTAAAGCTAAATAATAATGTTTCTTTAAAATATCTAATAAAAATGAGAAAAGCACCTAACAATAGATTTCAAACGGAATATGCGCAAAGCGTTTAGATTTCACACGCCACGGTATTCAGTGAATTTTCGCCAGCGAAATCCGCGCGATCCGGAGTTTCAGGACCAGCAGAAACTGGTTTGGTTTTAAAGCGATCCTGTGTTTGATGTACAGTGGACATTTTGTCGCGAAATTACAACTACCGAACTAACTACAAACTCCCTGCAAGTTTTTTTTTTTGGCCGTTGCTTAGCAACAGACGTTGACAACAATAACTCTATCAGACACTGTTGCTGTTGCTAAGCAACATACTGCCCGGTGTCAAAATAGGTTAAAAGCACCATATTCACAGTGCTGCACAAAACACTAAAAAGTACCATGGTACTAGCATGTTTTTCGACATGTACCATGGTGGAACCCGGGAGCAGCATGTAAATAAGTTGGAACATGATTATGGTGATAATTCACTGTACTTTTGTAAGTGTTTACAGCGCAGATGAACGCGGACACGTGCACGCCGCAGGCCTCGTGTTACACGCGCATAGACACACACAGACGGACAGAGCGCGGGAAAGTGCGTGAGTCCTGCGTGTCCGCCGCTATCCCATCATTCTCTCCGGAGCAGCAGCAGCGCAGGCTGGGATACTCACCACCGCCAGCGGCCCGACATGCACCGCGACACCGATCACGCGGCGGACGCAGCGCCTCAGTCCTCCGGCAGGCGGCGCTCA